GTCAACAGAGGTGATTAATTGTTTCAGTTTAACGCGTTAAAAATATTTATTACACGGCTTTGTGGAATATTTGATTCTGATTGGTCAGTCGCGACATTCTGAGGTATGTTATCCCTCGATAACAACCGGTAAAAGCTGATAACACAGGCTCATCCGGGTAACAGCAGTCGGCGCTGTACTCTTGCTAGGAACTATTTTTTCTTGGTGGAAGCTTTGCGTTTGTTTAGCTAATAAAATATTAAAACTCGATTCAAAATATTTTACAATTATTTAATTGTGTCGCCCTGGTATCAAGGACTCACTCTCGTTTCATAGAATCACAGCTGCTGCCATTTTGCTACAATTGTTTTGTATGCTGTAATGGATAAAATAACTAACAAGCTGGTAAGATTTTAAAAGATTTTCGTCTTAAATCTTTTATCGCCATAACTATTTATGTGGTGTAATGTTGTGTAATAAGTGGTATGACTGCACCGTTTCCCTTAAATGTCCGTCTAGTTTGAACTTGCCGCTTGCTCGCAACTGCTGTGTTCACGGAAGCTTTGCGTTCAAATATTTAAACTCAAATCAAATCAATAATTTTGTGTCTAATTATTTACTTATGTGGGAATTAGCCATGTAATAAACGGGCAGTGGTGTAATGTAACGAAGCAATAATACTTTGTTACAGTACTTAAGTATTTTTTGGGAGTATCTGTCCTTTACTTGAGTTTTTATATTTCAGCCAAATTTTTTTCTTTTACTCCACTACATTTCCTAATTAAAATGTATCCATTTACTCCGATACTTTTCCCCGAAGCATACTCATTACCACAAAATAGTCAGAAGTCAGAAGAACACGGACTGCAGGAAAGCAGGTTTGACGAATCAGTGGTATGGCGCTTGCAAGTTAGACTCCTAAAAACATCTTTGCTCATGTGCAAACAAGTGCGCGCAACCACGGGTGATTTCATTTTCCACTCAAGTCGAGTCTGGGGTCTGCGATATACATCTACGATAATATGGTAAGTGTTGTTATGACATTATCGAGTATATCACCAAATCACACACACACACACACACACACAGAGAGAGAGAGAATGCACACACGTGATTTATTAGTCTATTAAAATTCAAAATTCAAGGTATTCTAAATTGTAGATAGCAAAAATGCTTCTGTATGCTTTTTATATTTATATAATTTAATATAGTTATCTTAATCTATTTCACACAAAGAGTACCGTTTTTCTGCAGATATCAACATAACAAATTTAATAATCATTTTATACAAGTTTAGTAAAGTTAGCAATAAGTGACTTCCATTTTAGACATAATATTGCTTGTTTTTGCTCAATTTTGCCAACGAAAATATTCCAAACAAAGATCACAACACCTTTTGCGTCTCAGAGCAATGGTGTTTACTTGTTGAATGAATCAACTTTTTGAACGAATTGGTTGAATAAATGATTCAGTTATTCACTCATTTACACAGTCAAATGCTTTTTTCCAGAATGAATCAGCGGTTTGAACGAATCTGTTGAAGCTCAATGACTCACTCATTCGTCAGTCACTTGCTGTCACCTACTGGTGGTTTTAATTTACATTTCGACAATTTTTTTCATGTTTTAAAATCATTTCAAATATGTTAAAAACAAAACTATTTATTCATCTGTAACTGCAGGTTAAATGCATCCATGTCCCCTCTGAGATATATTAAACTGTGTAAATACATCTAAATATCACTTCAGATGCAGATTCCAGAAATGTTTTCTTATGTTGGAATGAAAGAAACTAAGTACTGGAAGAAGTGCTTCTTATTCATACCCAAAATTGCTAAATGGAAGAAAGAGTTAAAACTGAACACAATCTTGCTACTCAAGCTGTGTATGAACATTTTTATATATATTTTTCTGCTTATTTTGCATTTACTTATACTTTTACTTTCAATGCTTAAGTACGTTTAAGATAAAAAAAAACTTTTCGTACTTAAGTACAATAAATATCAAAAACTTTAAGACTTTTACTAAAGTAATATTCTAAACGGTGACTTCTTCCTAAGTCATTTTCTGGCTTTCAGGTACATTATACACCACTGTAAGCAGTGTATAAAACCATTCATTCAGTTTTCAAAACAAAGACACATTTCTCAAAGAGTTTAACAATGAGTAAGTTAAACATTAGATAGCAAAACTGATGACACACCAATCAGCATCTCTGCATCCTAACAACGGAGAGAGGAGAGAGCTGAGCCAATAATCTACAGGGGTTTTATACTTACACATACAGTATGATTACAGTACAGTACCAGTACATTAGATAATGGAAATTTCACTATTCTATATGTAGGCCTACAGTAAACTGTAGCACGTTGTGCACCTTCAAACGTGTGACTGTCAAATTTAGTTTGTAACCATTTTTTATGTGTACTGCATTTTTGCAGAACTGAGAAATGACTGCCTAGATATACAGTAGCTAGTCTTGTGTCAGGAGACCAAGAACCTGCTATAGTACTGTGTATACTGTAATGAAATTTGGCCAAATATGCAGAGGATGCTAAATTTGCTTTTTTTATTTTATTTTTTACTGTACTGTATTGTGGTGCATGCCAAGTTCATACAATTCTTTGGTATTTGAACTTATAGTGCTATTCATCTACTGCAAGATTACTTTACAGTAGTAAAATTAAAATGACTTTTTCCCCAAAAGTTCATTGCTGAATTATACATCTGTATATGTAATTTAATTCATGTATACTGTAATAGACATTGAGACACAGTCAAATGCTTTTTTCCAGAATGAATCAGCGGTTTGAACGAATCTGTTGAAGCTCAATGACTCACTCATTCGTCAGTCACTTGCTGTCACCTACTGGTGGTTTTAATTTACATTTCGACAATTTTTTTCATGTTTTAAAATCATTTCAAATATGTTAAAAACAAAACTATTTATTCATCTGTAACTGCAGGTTAAATGCATCCATGTCCCCTCTGAGATATATTAAACTGTGTAAATACATCTAAATATCACTTCAGATGCAGATTCCAGAAATGTTTTCTTATGTTGGAATGAAAGAAACTAAGTACTGGAAGAAGTGCTTCTTATTCATACCCAAAATTGCTAAATGGAAGAAAGAGTTAAAACTGAACACAATCTTGCTACTCAAGCTGTGTATGAACATTTTTATATATATTTTTCTGCTTATTTTGCATTTACTTATACTTTTACTTTCAATGCTTAAGTACGTTTAAGATAAAAAAAAACTATTCGTACTTAAGTACAATAAATATCAAAAACTTTAAGACTTTTACTAAAGTAATATTCTAAACGGTGACTTCTTCCTAAGTCATTTTCTGGCTTTCAGGTACATTATACACCACTGTAAGCAGTGTATAAAACCATTAATTCAGTTTTCAAAACAAAGACACATTTCTCAAAGAGTTTAACAATGAGTAAGTTAAACATTAGATAGCAAAACTGATGACACACCAATCAGCATCTCTGCATCCTAACAACGGAGAGAGGAGAGAGCTGAGCCAATAATCTACAGGGGTTTTATACTTACACATACAGTATGATTACAGTACAGTACCAGTACATTAGATAATGGAAATTTCACTATTCTATATGTAGGCCTACAGTAAACTGTAGCACGTTGTGCACCTTCAAACGTGTGACTGTCAAATTTAGTTTGTAACCATTTTTTATGTGTACTGCATTTTTGCAGAACTGAGAAATGACTGCCTAGATATACAGTAGCTAGTCTTGTGTCAGGAGACCAAGAACCTGCTATAGTACTGTGTATACTGTAATGAAATTTGGCCAAATATGCAGAGGATGCTAAATTTGCTTTTTTTATTTTATTTTTTACTGTACTGTATTATGGTGCATGCCAAGTTCATACAATTCTTTGGTATTTGAACTTATAGTGCTATTCATCTACTGCAAGATTACTTTACAGTAGTAAAATTAAAATGACTTTTTCCCCAAAAGTTCATTGCTGAATTATACATCTGTATATGTAATTTAATTCATGTATACTGTAATAGACATTGAGCTGCAAAAATAATTCCTGAATCCTAGTAAGAGTTTTTTTGTTACAAGGTTATTGATCTCAGTGTTCACTGGGAAGGAAAGTCATCTGTGTATTTGAATTGTGTGTAAGCAGTTGAAAAAAACGGTAAATTCTTACACACAAAATCTTTACTTGTCACACAATTTCTGAAACCTGACACTCAAACACCAGAACCACACAACAAATCTGAAAAACCCTACACTAATTCTCGGCCTTTGACTCAGTTTTCAATTTCATAAAATAGTTTTTGCAAAACACAACACACAATTCTCTATGTAACACACAAAAATCTAACAGAAATTAATATTATGGCAAAGGTGTTTGCAAATATTTGCTTTTGAGATGTGTTTGTGATATTTTGAATGCAGTGCTTCATTTTGCAAGAGAGGTGAAGCATTTTGTGTGTGCAATTCTTGGATTTATGTGTAAAGTTTTGAAAAAAGAGGCAAAGTTTTGAAAATGCTTGTAAGCAGTTGAAAAAAACTTAATATAAACTGTAATAACTAGATTTAAAAGTTTGAAAGACAAATTTATGCTGGCTTGTCTTAAAGTCTTGTTTAAAAAAACGTAAATGGTTTGGTCAGTTAGATGTTCTAGATGTTTGCTAAAGTGTTGCTAGTTGGTTGCTAGGATATTCTGGGTGGTTGCTAGGCTCTTGCTATGCAGTTGCTGGGGTGTTGCTAGAGTATATGGTTGATAGAGTTTGTTCTGGGTGGTTACAAACATTCCCACCTCTGTTAATAACAGAAAATCAAACATTGTTTTCAAAACTGATCCAGTTTCAGTGCTTTGAAATTATTGTATTTTTTTCTAATGTTAGGAAATTCAAAAGTTTATGTTGCTCTTAAACTTGCACTAAACGTGATTATACCATCTAAATAGCCTATGTAATTTTAATAGAACCGCATGTCTTATTTGATACAAGCTCAGAAACATTTATAACCTGTTGAAGTTTTTTAT